AGCTACTTCAAAAATACCATCCATGGTGAACTGACATACACCATGCAATTTACAGTATTTATTCCAAGGTACTTCAAAGAATCCCGAGATGTCCAAAAACATGGTATTGCATGAGACTGGATGATTACCATGTCTATATACGACAATATTTAATTCAAAGTACTAGTGGGAATACTATGATATTACCATGGAACTGTGATTAACACATAAACATGGCCAGATTTTTCCGTACTCAAAGAATACTATGGTAAATACACTTTGATAAAGTATCAAACATGGTATTACAATGGTTCTGGATGATTACATACCCATATACTACAGTACTTACTTGGTACTCCAAAGTACTTTAAAAATGACCATGGTACCAGGGTTGTGTAAGTGCTCCAGAGGTGTGTTTTGGAGATGCAGATGTTTGTTTGTGTAGTGGAAACACACACACAAACACTGTCGATGCGGTGAGTCATGCGGTTTAATACGCTCATTTTAAGGAGGTTGAGGATCTCAAGACGTGACCTCACTAGTTCATCTGCTGGATCTGTATATTAGTGGCATTGTATTTCAGATCTTCAGTTCTGTCACCATCATCTCAGTCCAAGCCTGTATGACGTATGAGATGTTTAGGCAGAATGCATGAGCTTTATTTTCCATGCAATGAAAGTAGGTGGTGATTTCTACTGTATTTGAGCTCTATTGCTCGTCTGTTGGACTCGTGCATTAGAACTCAAATCCTGCAGTTCAGTTTGTTTCTAGATGAGTTTGTTTCTTCATCAGATTTGTAGAAATGTAGCATTGCATCAGTGTCTCAGCAATGGATGCTCTGCAGTGAATGGGTGCCGTCAGAATGAGAGTCCAAACAGCTGATAAAAACATCACAATAATCCACAAGTAATCCACAGCACTCCAGTCCATCAGTTAACATCTGGAGAAGACAAAAGCTGAAACACATCCAGCATTAAGACGTTTTTAACTCAAATCCGAATCCATAATCCATAATAATGCATCCTCCAGTGAAGAAGTGGCCTGGTCTGAATCAGGAGACAAATTTGCACATTTTTAGTTTTAGTACTTCATTTTTTTGTAAGTGCATGTTTTTCTAGTGTGTTATTGTGACATCACTGATATGATGCACTTCCTCCAGTGTGAGTGTGATGACATCATAGTGAAGCAGTGATGGACGGCACTGTGACCTACAGGCTGCTTTTCCTGTCACAGTCAATCTATTAAGTGTAAAGTGTGTGTGTGTGTGTGTGTGTGTGTGTGTGTGTGTGTGTGTGTGTGAGT